GCAATCATTCTCCACTCTATAGTACCGTATAGCGGAAAATTTTCGTGGCCCAAAATTTTCGTGGATTTCGCGTTTTTTTCAAAATCCACGAAAATAAAATCCGCGAAAATCAATTTTATACGGTTTAAGATGGCTGAATTGTAGAAAACCACGAAAATTAAACCCACGAAATTGATTTTTGGACGGATCCACAAAAATTTTGGGCCATGAAAATTTTCCGCTATATGGTATTGATGATAGTCACAGACCTGTACAGTTGCGTAGGGTCGTCTTAGGGTTTCCTGATGCTAGCACGGAGTTTAAGTTTGACCTCTCGTTAAACTATAAGATCAGTGGAATCATACAGTGCTACTCTAATCAGAAACCAACACTAGTGGTAAGAATAGAGAGAAAAATGGTGAAATTTTAATTATTAATTTGTTTCTTTTTTGTTTTTTATTACACCATCCCTCCTTTAATTGTCCTCTTTCTCTTGAATCTTCTCTTTCTCTTAAATGAAATATAATAAAAAAATAAAATTAAAGTTTTGTGCTACATGTAAAGGGACCCAGCAGGCTGCTGGCATTTTAGTTAAAGATGCCAGGTTTGTGATGAATGTTGAACACAGAAGAAGGTATAATTTTACTACACAGAATTTTTAATGCATGTACATGTACATGTAATTATTATACACTTTTGCAAGCATAGGCTTCAGTCTACTGCTAGTTCCGTTAATGACAGCAAACTAAAAGGTATTGGAAGCAGTCATTTATTTATTTAATTTTGATTGTATAATAATGCTAGAGCTGATAGTGTATGGTGTTGGGTATCATCATGCAGGGATGAGCAGTAATGACAGAAAACTCATTGAGACAATGTTCACTAATGGAGAGCTACCAGTCCTTTGTGAGTTGATTTGTTATTCAGTGTATGTATTCTGTACTATGTACATGTAGAAAGTTTAAGCCAATTCTGACTCAAAATTGTTGAGGAATAACCGTTTTAAAAAGTAGCAAATTTTCTGAAAAAACAAAGGTTATAGCACATGTTTTTTGGAAATGGCTCCAAAATCATGCCGAATTTTTATTAGTTTTTTGATGCATGCTGCACTATTTTTTTCAAACTCAACGATGTGTATGCATTTTGTCTCTTCTACAATCTAATAGTGATTAAATCACAAAATACAATCTAATAATGACTAAATCAAAAAATATTCTACTAAAAAGTCCTATACACACACTTTTTATTCAGCAAAGTTCTGTCTTTGTATGTTCAAATTTCATTTGACATACAACTCATAAAAGCTGACAGGAGCATCCTCATTTCCTGTTCCCTCATCAGCACACACCCTCAGCTCAAGGTAGTCAGTAGTGGTAGTACCAAGTACCTTATTGAACCATGGAAGACCAGTAGCATTACAGCAATTCCCTTCAAGACTACCACATCCTTCACCATCCCACAATGGATCGGATGTATAAACGCTGTGTTGCCATGAATCATCAGTAGCAGGATTAGCAGATTCACAGAAGTAGTCATTACCAATGAAAGACTGAAGAGTTGAGTTTTGAGGACTACCTTCAGAGCAAGGACAATTGTATCTCCCATTGCAATGAGCAGTTGTAGCTTCATGCAGTCCAGCCATTAGTGTCCAGACATGTTGACGAGGAGACCCACGAGTAATACTAACACCATCAACATAATCAGCATTCAAATTATTATGATTAGAACCCCAAGCATCATCAACAGCATCAGTTGATCCATACTGATATCCCACTACTCTGCCACACACTTGAGAGTAACTGATACCATGAGATGGGAATTGAACTGATACACAGCTACCACTGCTTGTTACTGGTCTACCACAAGCTCTAACTCCTCCTGACTGGTACAGTCTAAACCCAGAAGGACAGTTCACTGTAGAGTCAGTCATATTCAGATATGCTAGTCTTGTCCAACCATCTGTAGAGCTACACAACTCCTCCATATTGCAGTAAGCAGTATACGTAGAGCTAGTATTTGACAGTAAGTACACACCTGATGGACTGAGTGGTTGCCTCTTCTTAATCTCTTTACAAGAAGTTGGTAGATCTAAAGCAGTTGATTCATTGTGCAATACTACTAATAATTCTTGTGCTAGTAGTAGTATATGATCAACAACTCCAGCAGTAGAGGTACTGGTATCTTCTAGATTAGATAGAGAATCAACAATGCCCGTTAGTTTTGCAGCAGAATTTTTTGTAGTTTGTAAAATTTGTTCATTAAATTCAGTTAAGTTGGGAGAGCTCTGAAGTAACTGAAAGGTATTTTGTGCCACACCATCAGCCCATTTATTAAAATCAGGAAGGTTTTGTGTTGTATTGCTGGTAACATCAAATACAATATCATTAGCCCATTCAATGAAGTTGGGAAGGCTCTGTGTTACATTGCTGTTAACTTTAGAGACAACACCAATAGCCCATTCATTGAAGTCAGGAAGGCTCTGTGTTACATTGCTGTTAACTTTAAATACAACACCATTAGCCCATTCATTGAAGTCGGGAAGGCTCTGTGTTACATTCCCGTTAACTTTAGAGACAACACCATTAGCCCATTCATTGAAGTCGGGAAGGCTCTGAGTTACATTGCTGTTAACTTTAAATACAACACCATTAGCCCATTCATTGAAGTCGGGAAGGCTCTGTGTTACATTGCTGTTAACTTTAGAGACAACACCATTAGCCCATTCATTAAAATCTGGAAGGCTCTGTGTTACATTACTGTTAACTTTAAATACAACGCCATTAGCCCATTCATTGAAGTCAGGAAAGCTCTGTGTTACATTGCTGTTAACTTTAAATACAACACCATTAGCCCATTCATTGAAGTCGGGAAGGCTCTGTGTTACATTGCCATTAACTTTAGAGACAACACCATTAGCCCATTCATTGAAGTCGGGAAGGCTCTGAGTTACATTGCTGTTAACTTTAAATACAACACCATTAGCCCATTCATTGAAGTCGGGAAGGCTCTGAGTTACATTGCTGTTAACTTTAAATACAACACCATTAGCCCATTCATTGAAGTCGGGAAGGCTCTGTGTTACATTGCTGTTAACTTTAGAGACAACACCATTAGCCCATTCATTGAAGTCGGGAAGGCTCTGAGTTACATTGCTGTTAACTTTAGAGACAACACCATTAGCCCATTCATTGAAGTCGGGAAGGCTACGATCAAGTCTATTTACTATATTATCAGACCATTGCGTGAAGTTGGGCAAAACAAAGTTATCAGGAATAGCTCCAGCAGTAGTTGTACAGGTACAGTTAGCATCTTTAGCAGACAATAGCACCAGTAGCAAGCAAAGTATTACCAGCAGTAGGAATACTATAAGACACAGTAATACAGTAATAACAACTAACAGTCTGTTCCAAGCTGAAAGCTTTGATGATTTCTTCTTCGGTGCTGCTTCTGTTGGTGGAGCATCACTTCTACTGGCATTATTACTAAGTTCTAACATTTCATATTCATCCCCTGGATTTGCTTGAATAAATCCTGGCATATCATATTCATCCTTATTTTTTTCTTCCATTTCTTCCTTCTTGCAACTAAAACCAAGTGATCTACTTTTACAAGTTTTCCCAGGTAGATCGATGTTGTTGCTAGCAGTTCTGGCAAAAACTAGCAGTTTTGTTACCTGCTTGTCGTAATAGCTATCATATATCACAGTTTGTATAAAAGTGCTGCCATAGCAAACACTATTTTACATCCAGGATAAACAATGCTTTATGAGCTGACATACAGTACATGTATATTATCATTATTATGGCATTTGAAGCAACTTTAAAAAATTAATTTTGATCTGAAATAGCTCAAATTTTCTACACATATGTATTAGAAAAAAAATTTTTACTAAAAATTTTTCCCTAGTTATTTCTGATGAAATTTGGCCAGACACCTAAGGCCAAAGGCTCTAATGACCAAAGGCCAAAGGTCTTTGGTCATTAGAGCAACTTTAAAAAGTCATAAAAATTCAATTTTAATGAGAATCAGCTCAAAGTTTCTACACAACATAAGAAATGTGTATATGTAGCAGAAAAATTTCTCTTGGCAATTTTTGTCAAAATATACCAAACATCCTTTGGTCATTAGTCCAATTTTTGAGCAACTCAGTTGTAAAAATTTCATACAAAATCTTAATATGATCAGAATCAGTTCAAAGTTAATACACAACATAAGGGTATGTACATATCAGAAAAATTATAAATTTTTCTATCTGAAAGCATGTATCCTCACTACCCTGTACTATAATACAGCAATTTTTGAGCAACTTGACAATGCACACACAAGAAGCTTGCATGAGCAGTTGAGTACTATGCCAAAATCCTGTTGGAAGGCTAGTGTGGCAAGAAAATTTAAAATTACACCAAGGCAGAGAGAGGTAAGTGGAGGGCTGAAGTGCATGATATAGAGGATTGAATCGAGAACATAAATGAAATAGAAATGAAAACTATAATTTCAACAAAATATACTTACTATGCACAGGAAAACAGTTTAATTATGATTATGGTCATGTGATGCATGTGCTTCATTGAGTTCAATGTGTCTAATCAGTCTATCATGACTGATGACTCATATGAAAATTACTATGTGTAATTTACAGTTAAGGGTCTCATAATAATGATATAGACCAATTTTATCTTTCCTAGGAATTCTTTGACTAGTTAAATGAACTACTGATTACTGCTGGTATGCAGCTGTATTTGATACATTTGAAAGTTACTGTATGCCTGGTTATAGATTATGTACTATGGTAGTATTAAAAAAATGGTGATGGCTTAAGTTTACAGTGTTTTGGAAAAAGAACCTCAAAGACCAGCCCCAGCTTGGTCTGGGGCTGGTACTTGATACTGATACTTGATACTCATTAAAGAACTGATATTGATACTGATATTGATACTGATATTGATACTGATATTGATACTGATATTGATACTGATACTGATATTGATACTGATACTAATATATTAATCCTTTCCTGTATTATGTACGTTGCTCAGATTCATCAGCTCAACGATGATTCCAGAGGTCCAACAGTCAAAGCCATTGTTAGTAGAATGAAAACCGTTCGCTCCTCAGTAGCAGGAGAGACTGGAGGCAGGAGACTCCTGAGGTTTATAGCAATATCTGCATCTTTACCAAACATTGACGATGTGTGTAAATAAGCAAAAAATACATTTATTATTATTTTTTTATTGTATCTATTTATAGATTGCTAGTTGGCTTGGTACTGAAGAACAACCTGGTATAATGTTTATACTACATGTATTATAATATTATTTCTATTTTTTCTGTCCATACATCTCCTGCAATCATTCTCCTACTCTATAGTATTGATGATAGTCACAGACCTGTACAGTTGCGTAGGGTCGTCTTAGGGTTTCCTGATGCTAGCACGGAGTTTAAGTTTGACCTCTCGTTAAGCTATAAGATCAGTGGAATCATACAGTGCTACTCTAATCAGAAACCAACACTAGTGGTAAGAATGGAGAGAAAAATGGTGAAATTTTAATTATTAATTTGTTCCTTTTTTGTTTTTTATTACACCATCCCTCCTTTAATTGTCCTCTTTCTCTTGAATTTTCTCTTTCTCTTTAATTTTATTTTTTTATTATATTTCATTTAAGTTTTGTGCTACATGTAAAGGGACCCAGCAGGCTGCTGGCATTTTAGTTAAAGATGCCAGGTTTGTGATGAATGTTGAACACAGAAGAAGGTATAATTTTACTACACAGAATTTTTAATGCATGTACATGTACATGTAATTATTATACACTTTTGCAAGCATAGGCTTCAGTCTGCTGCTAGTTCCGTTAATGACAGCAAACTAAAAGGTATTGGAAGCAGTTATTTATTTATTTAATTTTGATTGTATATTAATGCTAGAGCTGATAGCGTATGGTGTTGGGTATCATCATGCAGGGATGAGCAGTAATGACAGAAAACTCATTGAGACAATGTTCACTAATGGAGAGCTACCAATCCTTTGTGAGTTGATTTGTTATTCAGTGTTGTATTCTGTACTATGTACATGTAGAAAGTTTAAGCCAATTCTGGCTCAAAATTGTTGAGGAATAACCGTTTTAAAAGTAGCAAATTTTCTGAAAAAAACAAAGGTTATAGTACATGTTTTTTGGAAATGACTCCAAAATCACACCAAATTTTTATTACTTTTTTGATACATGCTGCACTATTTTTTTCAAACTCAACGATGTGTATGCATTTTGTCTCTTCTACAATTTAATAGTGATTAAATCACAAAATACAATCTAATAATGACTAAATCAAAAAATATTCTACTAAAAAGTCCTATACACACACTTTTTATTCAGCAAAGTTCTGTCTTTGTATGTTCAAATTTCATTTGACATACAACTCATAAAAGCTGACAGGAGCATCCTCATTTCCTGTTCCCTCATCAGCACACACCCTCAGCTCAAGGTAGTCAGTAGTGGTAGTACCAAGTACCTTATTGAACCATGGAAGACCAGTAGCATTACAGCAATTCCCTTCAAGACTACCACATCCTTCACCATCCCACAATGGATCGGATGTATAAACGCTGTGTTGCCATGAATCATCAGTAGCAGGATTACCAGATTCACAGAAGTAGTCATTACCAATGAAAGACTGAAGAGTTGAGTTTTGAGGACTACCTTCAGAGCAAGGACAATTGTATTTCCCATTGCCAAGAGTAGTTGTAGCTTCATGCAGTCCAGCCATTAGTGTCCAGACATGTTGACGAGGAGACCCACGAGTGATACTAACACCATCAACATAATAGCTATTTAAATTATTATGATTAGAACCCCAAGAATCATCAACAGCATCAGGAGATGTATACTGATATCCAGTTATTCTACCACATACCTGAGAATAACTGATACCATGAGATGGGAACTCAACTGATACACAGCTACCACTGCTTGTTACTGGTCTACCACAAGCTCTAACTCCTCCTGACTGGTACAGTCTAAACCCAGAAGGACAGTTCACTGTAGAGTCAGTCATATTCAGATATGCTAGTCTTGTCCAACCATCTGTAGAGCTACACAACTCCTCCATATTGCAGTAAGCAGTATACGTAGAGCTAGTATTTGACAGTAAGTACACACCTGATGGACTGAGTGGTTGCCTCTCCTTAATCTCTTTACAAGAAGTTGGTAGATCTAAAGCAGTTGATTCATTGTGCAATACTACTAATAATTCTTGTGCTAGTAGTAGTATATGATCAACAACTCCAGCAGTAGAGGTACTGGTATTTTCTAAATTAGATAGAGAATCAACAATGTCCGTTAATTTTGCAGCAGAATTTTTTGTAGTTTGTAAAATTTGTTCATTAAATTCAGTTAAGTTGGGAGAGCTCTGAAGTAACTGAAAGGTATTTTGTGCCACACCATCAGCCCATTTATTAAAATCAGGAAGGTTTTGTGTTGTATTGCTGGTAACATCAAATACAATATCATTAGCCCATTCATCGAAGTTGGGAAGGCTCTGTGTTACATTGCTGTTAACTTTAGAGACAACACCATTAGCCCATTCATTAAAATCTGGAAGGCTCTGTGTTACATTACTGTTAACTTTAAATGCAACACCATTAGCCCATTCATTGAAGTCAGGAAGGCTCTGTGTTACATTGCTGTTAACTTTAAATACAACACTATTAGCCCATTCATTGAAGTCAGGAAGGCTCTGTGTTACATTGCTGTTAACTTTAAATACAACACCATTAACCCATTCATTGAAGTCGGGAAGGCTCTGTGTTACATTCCCGTTAACTTTAGAGACAACGCCATTAGCCCATTCATTGAAGTCGGGAAGGCTCTGAGTTACATTGCTGTTAACTTTAAATACAACACCATTAGCCCATTCATTGAAGTCAGGAAGGCTTTGTGTTACATTGCTGTTAACTTTAGAGACAACACCATTAGACCATTCATTAAAATCTGGAAGGCTCTGTGTTACATTACTGTTAACTTTAAATGCAACACCATTAGCCCATTCATTGAAGTCGGGAAGGCTCTGAGTTACATTGCTGTTAACTTTAAATACAACACCATTAGCCCATTCATTGAAGTCGGGAAGGCTCTGTGTTACATTGCTGTTAACTTTAGAGACAACACCATTAGACCATTCATTAAAATCTGGAAGGCTCTGTGTTACATTGCTGTTAACTTTAAATACAACACCATTAGCCCATTCATTGAAGTCGGGAAGGCTCTGAGTTACATTGCTGTTAACTTTAGAGACAACACCATTAGCCCATTCATTGAAGTCGGGAAGGCTCTGAGTTACATTGCTGTTAACTTTAGAGACAACACCATTAGCCCATTCACTGAAGTCGGGAAGGCTACGATCAAGTCTATTTACTATATTATCAGACCATTGCGTGAAGTTGGGCAAAACAAAGTTATCAGGAATAGCTCCAGCAGTAGTTGTACAGGTACAGTTAGCATCTCTAGCAGACAATAGCACCAGTAGCAAGCAAAGTATTACCAGCAGTAGGAATACTACAAGACACAGTAATACAGTAATAATAACTAATGGTCTGTTCCAAGCTGAGAGCTTTGATTTCTTCTTCGGTGCTGCTTGTATTGGTGGGGCATCACTTCTCCTGGCATTATCACTTAATTCTAACATTTCATATTCATTCTCTGGATTTGCTTGAATAAATCCTGGCATATCATATTCATCCTTATTTTTTCCTTCCATTTCTTCCTTCTTGCAACTAAAACTAAGCGATCTACTTTTGCAAGTTTTCCCAGGTAGATCTATGTTGTTGGTTGCAGTGTTGGCAAAAACTAGCAGTTTTGTTACCTGCCTGTCATAATAGCTATCATATATCACAGTTTGTATAAAAGTGCTGCCATAGCAAACACTATATTTACATCCAGGTTGAGGATAAACAATGCTTTATGAGCTGACATTTATACAGTACATGTATATTATCATTATTATGGCATTTGAAGCAACTTTAAAAAATCAATTTTGATCTGAATTGGCTCAAATTTTCCACACATATGTATTAGGAAAAAAATTTTATATGAAAATTTGTCCTAGTTATTTCTAATGAAATTTTTTCTTGGAAAATACCAAACACCCTTTGGTTATTAGCCCTTTTTTTGAGCAACTTGTAAAAATTTCATACAAAATCTTAATATGATCAGAATCAGCTCAAAGTTGATACACAACATAAGGACATGTACATGTATCAGAAACATAAAAATAGAGAATTTTCTTTATGTGAAAACATGTACCCTCACTACCCTGTACTGTATAATACAGCAATTTTTGAGCAACTTAAAAATGCACTGGCAAGAAGCTTGCATGAGCAGTTGAACACCCTGCCAAAATCCTGTGAGAAGTCCACTGGGCAAGAAAATTCAAGAATTACACCAAGAAAGTAGGGAGAGGTTAGTGGAGGACTGCAGAAACAGAGATGATTGAATTGAGAACATAAATGAAATGAAAAAAAATGATTTGAACAAAATATACTTACTTACTAGAATACTAGTAATGCACAGGAATAGAGTTCACTTATGATTATGGTAATGTGGTGCATGTGCTTCATTGAGTTCAATGCGTCTAGTCAGTCTATCATGACTGATGACTTTTATGAATATTTTTGAGCTTGCTCCAAATTAAGTATAATACATGTAGCATTAGTAGAGATACAATTAAATGTGAAATTGTGAATGGATCATGTAAAATGATAATGGCTGGTTAATGAAAAGTAATGATTTTGTAAAAAATCTGACAATTTGATGCTAACTGATGACTAGATTTAAATCTGTGGCGTATTCAGGAGTGGCTGGAATAATAATAATAATTAAAACTGGAACATAATTATTATTCAACATCGTGTGTGCATGTGTCCATACAATTGAGAATCCATGACTCTCCCTCTCTCTATCTATAGTTTAGGATAGTACTCGTGTGGTTTACTGATAGGTATCAGTGCAGTATGATTAAGTCCATTCTTTAACTGACTGAGTGTATCTCGGTCAAGATTAGCTTGTCCTATCTCTTCTCCTAACTCTATTGCCCTCTCCATTAGTTTATCTCCATCTAATACTTCATGTATTATACCAACTGCTTTTCCCTCCTCTCCAGTGTACCTTTTACCAATCAGTATGCAATCAGTGTATGTGCTGGGTGGGAGACGGGCTCTAATTAAAATAAAGAAATAGAATGACATTATGCTATTGAATTTTACTATTCAATTTTCTTTTGCACATGTCATGTTTGTACATTGTCCCCTTTACTCTTTCCAACTTGTATGTACATGTACATGTAAATCATTATCTGATTAGTCTCATACAAATTACATGATTCATGAACATGTGTAAATTTCAAGTCCTATCTTAAATTTGGACACAAGCTTCTATTTGAGGACTCTCTTATACTTTATATACAATGATGGCTCCTATTCTCTTAATGCATGTGCAGTCCCAGCTTCTAATTACAAGCTTTCATTAATTTGAGAAGGCTTTTAATTAGGACTGTACTCATGGTTTCACACAAAGTAAAGTGAGCTACACAACATACATGTACATTACAGTACTTCATGAGCTGACAAGCACTACAATACACAGTAACACATGGCTTTTGGCGTAAGTTTAATTTTATAATTTTAGTTTTGATCTGAATCAGTTAAAAATTTTCAAAACAGCACCAGGGTTTCCCCACAAAGCATGCTAAAAGATCTAAAATGTATGCTTAATAAGCTGACAAGCATTATAGTAATAGAATAAACTTAAGCTTTGGAACAACTCTAAAAATTTATTCAAAAAATATTAATTCAATTTTGATCGGAATCAGCTTAAAATTTCTATACAACATAAAAGCATGTATCAAATATTATAATAATGGAGAATTTTTAAAGTGTTTTTTGATAAAATTTGGCACAAGATAATGTATATTTACATGTCTACAGCAATTTTGAAGCAACTTTAAAAATTTATTAAAAATCAAATTATAATTAAATCAGCTCAAAATTTGTACACAACTTGAGAACATGTACAGTATAGCACAAAATTTTTGAGGGTTGTAAATTTTAATAAATTTGACTAAAAATTTATTTTGCGGATTTAATTTTTGCAAATTTATGCCATTCACCATTTTGTACTGTAATAATTTGAATTTTCGCAAAATTAATTTTGCAAGCCTTCAAAAAATTGCAAAATCTATGAAATTTACAGCCCTGTGCTATACAGTATATGTATCAAAAAAATTATAAAATTGAAAAATTCTCTCCAAGCAATTTTTGATAAATATTATTATTACTATAGTACAAGATCTTTAATCAGATTTTTAACAACTTTAAAAATTTACTAATAAAGTCCAAGTACTATGCTAGAATCATGCGAAAACCCTGCACACAATAAAAACATGTATATAAACTATATGTATCAGGAAAAATAATGGCATACATACAAAAAATACATTGTACTATTATAGCACAAGCCATACATGTACATGTATTTTGTCATTATTTTGAAGTGACTCAAAAAATTAAGAAAAGACTCAATTTTGATCAGAATTAGCTAAAAAAATTTATGCGACATAACAACATCTAAGTGCATCAGAAAATGAAATAAAATTGGATAATTCTCTTCTATCAATTTTTAACGAAATACCCTGTACTACATAAAGGGCCTTCAATAAAATTATTTATAAAATACAGAGTGTGATTCAAATCTACTAGCTCAAACTTGAAAATTTCTACATAACATACATGTAAAAACATGCATTATGTATAATGAAACTCTCCTAGCCATTTTTAATGAAATAAAACAGGGTTTTCTACAAAGTGCTAAGTAAGCTACATGTATACAGCATGTCAATAAGTTGCATATTACTGTACATGTACATGAACATTAATACACACTATACATTGTAGCTCCCAATCTCTCCTGCATGTCTCTTGTATGTGATGTGTGTATGTACTTTGCTAGTTCCATTAATGGTTTAGTCAATTCCATCTTCAAGAGTACCTCAGGCAGTGAGAACCAACCTCTCTCTCTCTTCATTAGTCTATAGTCATGTGTTAATGCTAATAGGCCACCACCTGCAAATGAATGACCTATACAAAAATATAATTAATTTATAATACATGTACATGTGTTATAATAATTAATGATTTTGATCTCTTAAGACAGAAATTAATCATCATTATTGTTATTATATCATTACATAATTATCATTATTATTATTTCTTTATTTACCATTTATTGCTGCTATTGTTATTACTGGAAATGTCAGCATTCTTTTAAATAAAGTATTCAAATTGACGTCAAAGAGAACTCTAACATCTTCAGGTGAATAAGATGGGAAGTTATCAAGGTCTAGTCCATTAGAATAGAATTTGCCATCACCAGTTGTGATCAATGCTTTTATATCTTTATTACTAGAGAGAGATAGAGACAGATAATTGGTAGAATACTAGTTGGTATATCTTGCACTAATACATGTATATTACATACAGGTTTCCCACAGTTTTTGGCATAGTGCTTATGCAGTTTCTTGTCAGTCGATCAAGTTGCTCAAAAAGAGGCCAAATTTTGTCAAAAATGACTAAGAGGGATTTTCTATTTTAATAATTTTTTCTGATACATACCGTATAACACTTTAATTTGGCAGAGTTTAATTTTGGCAATTGGCGATTTGCAAGCAGAATCACCAATATTAAAACCGCCAATCATTAATGCGCATGCTCAGTAATGCACGTGTACACAAAAATCGCCAAATTAAAAACCACCAATTACAATTTTACAGCAAAATTGCCAAAATAAAGCACTGCCAAAATAAAGCACTATACAGTATACATGTCCTTACACTGCATATCAACTTTGAGCTTTTTCTGATCAAATCTGAATTTTATTATGAATTTTTAAAGTTGCTCCAAATGCTATTTAGCTCACTTAGCATATGCTTTGTGATAAACCCTGAGTATTGGGGAAGGATTAAATTTAATTCTAATGAATACTCATCACTGATGTCAACACTCTCACGTTTCATCATTAACAAGTGCCACATACAGTCAGACCATAATTGGGTGGGGCATGAATACATGAATGATAAAGATCTACGGTATAGCAGTTCATTTTGGCAATTTTGCTAGAAATTGTAATTAGCAATTCTTAATTAGACAAACTTTGTGTACACGTACATTACTGAGCATTAATGATTGGCAGTTTTAATCCCGGCAAATTCACTGGCAAATTGCCAAATCCCAAAATAAAAACCCACCAAATTAAAATGCTATACGGCATACCATAATGTACTTGTACCTAGACAATAAACCACACCAGATCGTTTGCAGTACATGTATTGCCCCATACCTTTCTATGTCGTCCAATGCTTTGAAATATTCTTTAAAGAAGGTTGGAGTGAACCTATTCTCTCCTTTACACATTTTAATGATAGCCACTGATCCCTTGCACTCTAATGTAACTGAACTAGCAGTAGACGAGTGTCTAAATATACTGCTACTCGTAGACATCTTAAATAATGAACTAATCACTGATTTAGAAGCAGTACAGGAAAGGAAAACACGAGCAGCCATTCAGAAAATTCAGATTTTAGAATTGGGTGTGGTCCAGGGCGGAGTTTGTATAAAAATGGCTGCAAGAGTGAACTACATCTGTTCTTGTTTCTTTCACAGAAATATTTATTTACAGAAGTACAAGTATCATGTTCATTATTATGATGAGCAAAAGTTTATTGAGGACTATTCTGAGGTAAACTTAGATTGTCTTTTGTAATATCTCGCCCTCTCATAGACATTTCTACGCTGGAACTGTACCGATGAAGACCTTGCATCAATATTGAGAGAGGTAGGTAGGATTCATTATACATTATGATTGGATAGGATATGTAGTAGTATATGAGGTTGAGGGTTGTCAGGCTTTCACAATGATTGCTTCTTTATACTTTACTCATAACTCTCAGTAATCAATGAGTGTCGAGATGAGTGTCCACATGCAAACATAATTTTATACATATCCACATTATTATATTGTTACATCACATTGTGGTATGCATGATTCTAAATCAGGCAGCCTGACTTGTCTGTTTTGCTGGTAGCATTATTGCAAAGGGGCATGTTCATTTTGGGTGTGTCAGGTGAAGTGCCATAGTTTTGCCAATGTCTACTTCTTCAGTGCTAGGGAGGCATTTTTTTGACGCTCTGAGTAATTGAAAACATTACCTGTTTCCTATGAGCTCAATGCTGCTGCTAGAACCTAAAGCCTATAAAATTAATAGTCAGTCAATGGCAGGCATTTGTTTGTTCCTATTAAATTTTGGCAGATTTTCAGTTTGTATATAAATATACACATGTGTCTTTTGTCTGCACTATGCAGGTGTACCTTCTAAAGTGAACATTATGCTTATAGCCATTAGAATAATGAGAAGGATGTTAATTGGAAGTATTATTGAATGTTATTTGATCCACGTACATACACATTATGCATTCACACACAGTGTTTGTATAATAATTGTTGTTTCAATAGGTTAAGTCAGAGGTAGAAAGAAGGAAAAATAGAGGAAAGGAGCATGTGAAGAGATGTGAGATGGTTCAGAAATTATATCAAAGACTTGATCCACCACTTTATACACTGGATGTAAGCCTATTAGTTACTATATGTGTAACTATTAATTGTAGTTCATTATTAACAATTAGTATTGATTTAAAATTCAGTTTCTATTAATTAATCCTCAAAACTTTTGCCAAGCATTTTAAGGGGATATGTTGCCTTGTGCTGTTATTGCTAAATGTTGCATGAAATATGCTGTTTACTCAATCTGGGCAATATCGCAAAAACTTATTTATAATTTGTTCTTGTTAATTCACAGGAGTCTTATTTTCATTCTGATTTTCTCAGAATTACTAAGTATTGTCGTGACGAGCTGTCTCCTACAATGGAAGGACTCCTTCAAATGATAAGCAAAGAAGAAGGTAAGTACAAATGTAGCAATGATTATTTTTAATGCATTAATTATAAATAATTGAATTTCACATGTTATAAACACTAGAATTTAAATGATTAACCCCATATACTGTATAGCCGGAAAATTTGGTGGCCTAAAACTTAGGTGGTTTTGCATCAAATTGCCTAAATATACTATTGGCGGTCTCTCAATTTGGCAGTTTACTATCTTCTTTGTTCTTTAAGCACTCTCAGCTCTTCTTGAAGCTTCTCCTTGGCAGTCCTTGCCCACAGTCTTGACTGAAATAGTGAGAAATACTCATAAATACTGCCATTTTGGCATTATTTAGTATCATGTACTTACAATGGGGTCCGCCCATCATTGCAATTATTATTGACGGTTATAATATTGGCGGTTTTGTTTTGAACAGTCAATCTGCCAAATTTAATTCTCTGTCGCTATATGGTGTATTATGAAGCTCTTTTAATTTTTTACATTGATTAGCTTCACGAGTATATTCATTTCCTGTCTTCACTGATGAATTCTGCAGACGTTTTCTTGATGAGTTGGATCATTTTGAGAGGTCAGATCTTCCTAAAGGACGTCCTAATACAATGAACAACACTGGGGTGTGTTTATGCATGTACATGTATTTATTAAATAGCACCTACATGTATAATATATGGTACAGTTGAGCCAAACTCTAAAATTAATAAGTTTTATTTTCTAATTTTTATAGCACTGAAATACATGTACATGTACAT